ACAGGCTCTGTCCTTGGCATCGGGGGAGCCGGCAGAAGGCTTCAGACATAACAGATGAGCAAGAAGAGTCGAGGCTCAACTCACCACGATGGGCCCTGGCAAGACACAAGGGACAGGTGGCCTCCCCGCACTGGGCTGGCGCTGCCAGGTTCAGCAGGTGTAGGGGGCTTGGCCGATGGGGGGAGGCCAGGCCTGGCGTAGGCCCCCCAAAGGGACACAGCCAGCCATACAGGTGGCAGTTCCCACCCCAAGGACCATTAGCCAAGATGCAAGCCAGGTGCCCAGGTGAGAGGCCTGCTCTGACCTCAAACCACAGGTGGCCTGCTAGGCTCGGCTATCTGTCACCTCCACACAGTGGCAGCCTTATCACAAGTTAGCCCAGGCAGCTGGACTGCATTTCCCCAGGTTTCCTTCCTGTAGGATTTAGACGTGGTGGGTCCAGAGGGAGAGCCTTGTGGGGGCTGTGGAGGGGAGGGGAAGCTGCCACTCGTCTTGATCTGTAGAGTCACCTGTGGCATGTGGCCAGGCCCACCACTGTGCCGCTGTCCCCTACCCCCTTCACCAACTCTGATGCTGGGGGTGGGGACGTCCAGCTCTGTGGCACAGCCCAGCGTCTGCAGGACGCACAGCCCCTGGGTCACACGCACACCTGGGAGCCATGCTGGGGCTGTCGGGGGTCCAGCTCACCCTTGGGGCGCATCTTGCCCTCTTTCCCCACCTCACAGCACCTTCCCTTCCCGCACCAGACAGCATCCCCACGCAAGCGGTTTAACCAGGTGCCAAACGGCGTGTGGTCAAATTGCTGTAACAAGTTCATGTATATCTGCACACACACACATCCACGCATCCCTAACACACACACACACACGCACACGCACTGGTGGGTCTGCCTCTCTGGGGGCCACTCACATAGACATGTTCAGGGACCCACAGTGGGGAGCATGTGGGAAGGAGAATGGTGGCAAATAGCCGTATGATAAATATCCTCCTAAGAAACCATGACTTGAAAAATGCCATCAGAGCAAAGTTCCTCTCCTCCCCGGTGATGTGTCGGCAGCGGTGCGCCTGTGTCCGACATCAGTCCATCTCTGGACTCTGTGTCTCTCTCTCCCTCTCTCGCTGACCTTTCCTGGGGCTTCCAGGCTGCTGGGACAGCGTGGGCCGAGTGCCTGGGTTCAGCACCACGGACAGAGGAGCGGGTCCGGAAGGCCCGGGGCCCCAGGTTTTACCCCCATGCCTCAGCGCGGGGTCCAGGGCTTCATTCAGTCATTCGCTCATCCCCTGGGCGGCCCATCAGTGTGATGGGGCTGTGGCCACAACGGCAGGCGTTGCGACACCTGTGAGTCCCGCTGCGTGCTCCACATGCGTTAGCTCATTCAGTCCTCATGACGGCCTGTGTGGCCGCTTTGCAGATGAGGAAACTGAGATTTGGAGCAAGGAGTGCTCTGTCCAGGGTCCCACGGCTGGAATAAGGAGGGGCCAGGAGTCAAATCTGCCACACAGACCCCCCCACACACACACACAACTTCATGCCTCCTCCTTGCAAAGCTTCAAGGAAGAAGGGGAATGTTGACCAGCTTTAGATACTGCTCACCCATCACCCGACTTTGCACTTGGGGACACAGGGACACCTGTCCATCAGAGCTACACATTTGTAGAGCAGGCGGGTCTGTCCCTGAACCACCATAGACTGTCCCATTTGCCCTGAACCAACCCACAGCCAGCCTGGGTGGGACAGTCAAAGCCTGTGATCAGGAGAAGGGGACACGCAGGCGGATCAGCCGAGGGGTCCCCGTGGCCCATTGGGTGCCCACTCTCTAGAAGCCCTTCCTATTATAATTCTCATTAATGATTATTAATGATTGCTGATATTTGCACAGAGCTTTTCTGCCGGCTAGGAGCCCTGGACCGGGTGACTCGGCATTTGCTTATGAGTAAAGCCAGATGCGGAGGCAGACGGGCCTCGAGGGAGGGAGCCGATAGCCCCAGCCATCCCCGAGATGAGAAGCGGCCACAAGGACGGCGCTGCCCAGAAGTGCGGGTCTGGCTTCCAAAGGACTTTGAGAGGCTTACGCAACCAAACACGCGCCTCGAGAAGTAAAACTAGGACTTCAGCGATTCCTGTGGCCCTTGTGCTTCCGGAAGCTCCCTCTTTGTGCTCTGACATCTCTCTTCGAATGTGCTTGCTTGTATCGGCTCCGCCTGGAGGGAGCGAGTCACATCCTGTCGGCGTCTGGGCCGGTGGGGGGGGCGTACTGCGTGAGGGTCCCGGGCAGCGCCCATCTCCCGAGTGCCATGCCCTGCTCGCTCCCCACAGCATCCTTGATGGGGCGTCCCCAGCACTAAGTCCACTTACCAATGAGGAAACAAAGGCTCAGAGAGGAGAGGGGACCCACCTGGGTGCAGCAGCCGGGGAGCATATGTACCTGGTCTGTCAACTCCAAAGTCCAAGCAGGTCACCCACTGCACCTCTGTTTCCTCAGCTGCAGAATGGGGGTGACGAGGGTGCCCGCCTCACGGGATCACTGTGCACATTGAACTCGTGAACGTGTGTAAAGCACGAGAAGGGCACAGCGAGGGTTGGGAGCAGTTCTGGGCGTCCACACTCATGTGCACGTCCCCAAGTTCACAGCGTTCACATTTTCCACATGCAGTGCAGTGCATTATTTGAATAGTGTTCAAATAATGGTCCTAACACAAAGTTAATCTCTCAGACCATGGTTCTAGAACGTCCTGCTGGTGACAGTGGAAGAACCTGCCTGGAAGAAGAGCTGGGCACAGAGCCTGAGATGTGCCAGCCTCCCTCCAAGGCCCTGTCTGCTTGGCCAGGGGACTTAGCGTCTTGTTTTGGGGGCGGGGGTCCCCCCTCCCTTTGCTCCTTCCCCACAGAAACTTGGCTTGATGGAAGAATCTGGGAGGTTCTAACAGAGAGAATCATGAGTGAGGAAAAGGGTGACAGGTGGGGGGACAGTGGCCCCGGGGTGGGGCGCAGCCTCGGAGAAGCTGCGCAGAGTCACGTCAGTGCCTGGGCTCGTGGGCCACCCCTCCAGGCCCCTGTTGGTAGGGCCACGCTGTCGACACAAGCTGTCACTGGAAATGGGCCTCAAGCAGCATTTACTGGCACAGGAGGGACAGTAGTGCTCTGCCGTGTCCCTCGTCCTTGCTTTTCCCACGTATGACTGCTGGGTGCCCGCCTGCCCATCCCATGGCTGTGCATGCTGCTGGGGCGCTTGAGCCTTGTGCGTGGGTGCTGTGTGCCAAGTGCGGTCCGTCTGTCGGGGTGCAGTCAGTGCAACCGCGGCTCCCATTACATCACCACGACACCTTCTCACCCCCAGCACGTGGCCGAGATGCCTCCGTGATGGTTCTCCTTCAGCAGTGAGTATGCAGTGGGTGCCTACTGTGCGCCAGGCACTGCCCTAGGCCCTGGGGTTGCAGCAGTGGGCGACCGGACGCAGATGCTCTTCTGTGGCACTTGCACTCTGTGAGTGAGGCGGGGATAATGCAGTAACTGGGATTAGGGAGGCGGGGGGAGGGGGTAAGAAAGGGCTCTCTGCGGAGGTGATATTTGGCAAAGACTTGGAGGAGGTGAGGGAAGAGGCCACGCCCCACACGGAAAGACTCAGAAGGATGAGGTGCCCAGGGGCCCTCTTCCCCCACCCACACTCTGATCACCGTGGCCCCAAAGCTGCCCGGGGCTGGAGCCCCCGGCTCGGCCTGCCTCCCCTAGCAGGTACGACCTCGTGGGGACCCCTCCCTCCGTCAGGTGTCTGCACCTCCGCTCCCCTCTGGTCCTCCACCTGCATCTGAAAACTTCAGGAACAAGAGAAAGCGGAGGGAGACAATGGCGGGGGGCGGGGGTTGATGAAGTGTCGAGCTGCTCTCAACTCCGCAGTTTCCACGGCATTTAAATGCCCGCGAGCAGATTAACGAGGCCACGGCGGCGCAGGCGTCTGTGCTGTGCTATCTGGAGCGCCAGCCGCAGCGTGTGAATATTGATGGCCAGGCGGCTGCAGCGGCCGCAGCGCCTTATCTCACGGGCCCAGGCTGCCCGGCCCTTATCAGGCCGCCCGGCTGCGCAGCTGCTCGCCGCCCCCGCCACCCTCGCCGCCTGCTTTGTAATCAGAAGAGAAGAAGTTGCTGTCTTGATATTTCCATTTTTATCTCTTTTATTGACTTCATTTTCATGTCTTTCAGGGAGTGTTTTCTGTGGTCGCTTACATCTTTCCGCTACTCTTGCCCCTTGGCCGCGCTGGGAAAAAGGGGAGGCGAGATGAGGACTGGGGTCGGGCGGCGTCCCCAGGACCCCCTTCTCCAGCCTCGTGCACCCTATCTTCTCCCTGGTCCCCCTCCAGGTCCGTGGCCGGGCTGTGCAGTGAGCACCCCTCACCCAGCCCCGCCCCAGCGAGGGATTAGCCTCAGGATGCCGGAGGGGCCTCGGCGTGGGGAGAGGGGCCGTCCCAGGCGAGGAGCAGGCACTGCCAGCCTCCGTCCCCCTCGCTGTCTGCGTGGATCCAGGGGAGACGCGATTATCTTCCCTCCACAGACGAGGAAGCCGAGGTTCCCAGAGGTTATCAGTCACCTCCACCTCGCTCCTCGCTGGCGATGCGTGGCAGAGGCTGCCCGGGGGCCCGGCTGCCAGGTGCATCTGTGTGGGGGACGAGCTGGCTCCACCCCTCCTCGGAGGGCGGGGTGGTCACATTCGGCCACGCGAGTGTGCGACGAGGGGTGCCTGGCCTCCCGGCCTCGGTGCCCTGTCCTGGGTGGAACAGCTTCTCTCCAAAACCTGTGTCCACGGCCCGACCCCAGATGTGGGTCATAAATGTGACCATGTTCAAAAAGGGGTCTTTGCAGACGTGACTAAGAACCTCAGGATGACGCCATCCTAGATTGGGGGCGGCCCAAATCCAAGGGCACAGTCCCTGTAAGAGAAAGATTCAGACGCGGGAGAGGCCGCGTGAGCACAGAGGCAGCAGTGGAAGGACACAGAAACCCCAGCGATGCCTGGGCCCCCGGGGGTGGGCGAGGCCGGAAGGACCCTCCCCGGAGCCGCCAAGGGGGCACAGCCCCGCCTGGATCTCAGCCTCCAGCCTCCGGAACTGGGAGGGAAGAGATCTCTGCTGCCGGCGCCCCCGTCCGTGGCCGCCGGTTAGGGCAGCTCCGGGTCCCACACCGACCCCACGTAGCTGAGGGCCCCTTCCGCCCCTCCGAGTCTAGAGTGGCGAGAGCCTGGAGCCTGCGGCCGCAGAGGTGCTCTGCAAACACTAGCTGACCGAGCAGATTCACCCAAGCGGGGGACTCAGCCCGAGCCCCGGACAGTACGGCTGCGGGGGGGCGGCGGCACGAACAGGACAGCAGAGCTGCCCCCGAGCCCCCTGCGCCCCCGCGTCTCCCAGCCCTCGTGGTTAGGAGGGCGCACGCCCCCTGGGGCTCCAGCTCCTCTCTGGAGCCTCGAGGCCGTGACTCTGGGAGGCCTGAGCAGCCTCGGGGCGGCCTCCACCCGCAGGGACATTTGCACGAGCGGGAAACAGGCGCACGGGCCGCCTCTTCCGGCACCGCGCCCGGCCCAGCCCGGCTAACAAGCGGTGGCCTCTCGGCCCATGGGACTCCGGGCCGTGTTTGCAGGACACGGCACGAGCCAGTGCTTATGAGCAGTGTGGCCTGTGTGCGGCGGGGTCTTGGGACAAAGGTGGCTTCAGTTGTTCTAAAAAGAGGAAATCGGAGAGTCTGTGGGCTGTTTGGGATTTTTTGGAATCTGTGCTGCAGAGCGGAAAGGCCGGCCGCTGGCGTGGACCGCTGTGGGTTCCGTCGCCAAAGAGAAGGGCCGAATCCGGAGGTGATGCATCACTTCACCAGGCGAGGCTGAGGCCCCGGGAAGCCGTTGTTCCCACGAGCCGCCACTCCCGGTGGGGGGGCTCCGGTGACGGCCACAGCGGGGGGAGGCGCTGGGGGGAAGGAGAGAAGCGCCTGGGCTGGGGAGGGGCCAAGGCGCCCCTGGGGCAAGGGGCGTGCCCACGTTAACCCACTCCGCACCCGGGGATCAGGGGAGCTGCCCCGCCCCAGCCCTGCACAGGGCTCCCAGGCCCCACACCAGGAGGCCCCTGGGCTCCGGGGGCAGGGACGGAAGGCTTGGGGGGGGTGGGAGCTGGAGAAGCCCAAGGACACCAGGTCCCTCCGGCCGGTGACAGCAGGGCAGGACCCAGCCCCCCGAGGCCCACCGAGCCTGTCCAGGACGGAGGACGGTCCCCAGGGCTGCCCCCCCAGCACACGGCAGACACCGTCCGCAGCCAGAGACACTGGGGGCAAGAGCTGGAGAGACGGGGTCCCCCAGGACGAGGCAGGGCCCGCGTGGGCGGTCCCCGTGCTCTCAGAGGGCCAGGCCCCTCCAAGGCGGAGGCCGTTAGGAGCCAAAGGAGAAGCCCCCGTGAAGAAGAGTAATAAAGGCCCGAGGCCCATGGCCCCCATGTAATGTCGCTGGGAGCTGGGTCTTTAGTTAAGGTCTGTCCACGCTGGTCTTCCAGATCCCCTCCCGTGTCCGTCCCAGGCCAGCCGCTCCTCCCTCCTGTCCCCCAGTGTCCCCGTCCCAAAGCCCCCCTTCCCTCCTGTACCCCTGAGTGTCCCCGTCCCAAAGTCCCCCTTCCCTCCTGTCCCCCCCAGTGTCCCCGTCCCAAAGCCCCTCCTCCCTCCTGTCCCCCCTGAGTGTCCCCGTCCCAAAGTCCCCCTTCCCTCAGCGGAGGCGTGTGGTCCTTTGTCATGAGCCTGGGGACCGTTGTCCATGCGCGAAGCCGCCCACACTGGCGCTCTGAGCGCACTGGGCTCGGACGCCGGCGCCGGGCTGGGCTGTGGCAAGGGAGGCAGGCCAGGGCTCAGGGCAGGGGAGCCGGCCGGGCCCCCGAGGTCCCCACCTGAGCCCGAGCCGCAGGGAGTGGGTCCTACGCCGGTTCGTAAANCCCCCCCAGTGTCCCCGTCCCAAAGCCCCTCCTCCCTCCTGTCCCCCCTGAGTGTCCCCGTCCCAAAGTCCCCCTTCCCTCCTGTCCCCCCAGTGTCCCCATCCCAAAGCCCCTCCTCCCTCCTGTCCCCCCTGAGTGTCCCCGTCCCAAAGTCCCTCTTCCCTCAGCGGAGGCGTGTGGTCCTTTGTCATGAGCCTGGGGACCGTTGTCCATGCGCGAAGCCGCCCACACTGGCGCTCTGAGCGCACTGGGCTCGGACGCCGGCGCCGGGCTGGGCTGTGGCAAGGGAGGCAGGCCAGGGCTCAGGGCAGGGGAGCCGGCCGGGCCCCCGAGGTCCCCACCTGAGCCCGAGCCGCAGGGAGTGGGTCCTACGCCGGTTCGTAAAAGCAAATGGTACGTGACTTCTGGAAGGAAAAGAATCGCTGAGCAGCAAAGATTCCTCAGTTAGGACACAAAACACATTTGCTGTGGGAGAAAAAAATAATAAATAGGACTTCGTCAAAATTAACGGCTTCTCCCCTTGCAAAGGCACCGTTACGGAGATGGAAAGGAAACCACGGAGAAAATGCGCACGGTACACGTATGGGACTATTTGTATCGATAATTTATAAGGAATTCTTATAGCTACGATATAAAAGTACACACCCAATAAAACGCGGCCCAAACAGACTCTCGGGTAAGAAGACAGATGCCAACGAGCGCGTGAAAAGAGGCTCGACATCTGCAGTCGGAGAAATAACAGTTAATTGGCCATCACTGACCATCAACTAGAAAGACGAAAATTAGAAAAGAAAGGAAAAACCTGGGGCACCTGGGGGCTCAGACGGTTGAGCGTCCAACTCTCAATATCAGCTCAGGTCATGATGTCACAGGCTGTGAGTTCGAACCCCGCGTCGGGCTCGGTGCTGGCCGTGCGGAGCCTGCCTGGGCTTCTCTCTCTCTCTCTCTCTCCCAAATAGATACACATCTTTTAAACCCCCCAAAACAAAAAACCTGACAACATCAGATGTTAGCAAGGAAGTGGAAGATAGAATCCTCGGATATGCTCGCGGGGATGTGAAATCAGAGCAACTAGCTGAGATGTGGGAAGTTTCTTAGGAAGGCGCATTTGCGTGCGAGGTGACCGCAGTCCTGCTCCGAGGAGCCTGCCGGAAGGAGGCAAGGCGTGTGCTCGGCTCCACCTGCCATAGCGCGGCACGGGGAGAACCTGAAGGCACCGGCAGGGACAGGGGTCGCGTGGCCACAGGTCGGCGTGTGACTCACGGCACAAACCCCCCAGACCGTCGCGGCGACGCGCGGGAGCCGGGCGCAGGAAGTGTGGCCGTGGGTCCCGTGGCGAAGAAGCACCAGACGTGGCAAAACTTACCAGGACGGAAGTCAGGTGGGTGCTTGGATCGGGGGGTGGGGAGACCCGATTTTCGGGAGACCCAAAGCGATGGAAACGGCCTCTGCCCCATCTGGGAAAATGGACGTGGGGGTACCGCGCGCAGGACACGCGCTGGCGTGTGTGGAGGCGATGCTGACGGGGTCCGGGCGGCGGGCGGGGGCCGCTCCGCTGCAGTGACAGACGCCCCGACCCTGTGGCGTTCCACCAACCACACGCATTTGCTTCTCCCTCACGGCACTTGCTGCCGGTGCCGGCGGCCGTGGCGGTTCTCATTCCCGCCCCCAGGACGAGCCCCCCCGGCACCCCCAAAGCTGCTGCTCCCGCGGCTAACCCCACACACTGCGCTGGCCACAGTGCCACGGGGCCCCGCCCGACGCTGACAGAAAGCAGGGGCGAGGCGTAACCTGGCCATAGGGAAGGCCAGGGGGTAGTCACTGCCCCGGGAGCCAGCGGTGGCCCAGGGCTCTGAGCTGGCTCCGCCCGCGCAGGGCACATTTCAAGTCCCTGGACCCTCACACGGCCCCACGGAGTGGTCACCGACACGGTGGGAGCACCGACAGCCCACGGGACCTGCCCCAGGTGTGCGGAGAATGGGAAGTGGCCACAGCGGGTCCTTGGGTGTGGACAGTAGAGGCGGGGCCGGGGCTGCCCGGGGGTGGCAGAGGCCGAATTGCCAGGGACTCACCGGGATGCGGCCAGGCCACGGCTGTGTGCCAGGGTGCCGGCAGAGGGGGGCCCTTCCCACCTGTCTCCTCCCCCAGCTGGCACCTATTTTTAGAGCCAAATCTTCACAGCCAGGGCGCGAGGTTCCAGAGCCGTGGGTCGGGCTCGGCTCAGGGGCGGGGCAGCCTGCAGTCGCGCTGGGGCGGCCCGTCCCCCCCCCCCCCCCCCCCCCCCCCCCCCCCCCCCCCCCCCCCGCCCCCCCCCCCCCGCCCCTTCTGCCCCTGAGGCCTCCTCTGCCCCCAACAGCTCTGGGGGTCCAGGACCCGGTCCGTTCATTCATTTGCTCCTGTTCTCTCGGCGCCTCTCTGGCCACCAGCTCACAGCTTTGCACTTGGGGCCCCACCAGACCCTGCGGTCAGAGTGAGCTCCCACCTCCACACCCCCCACCTGCCACTCGGCCTTAATGGGGTCCAGGCTGGCCTCTTCCCTCCCCACCACTCCCCTACCTGGCTCTCCTGCCGTTCTCCCCACCCCTGCCTGGTCCCAGCCCCACCAGTCAGTGACTCCCCTTGGCAAGGCCTAGGGGCCCTGCACGACCTCTGACCCCATTCCTACAGCCCCTGGTCCCTGGACTCCAACCCCACCCCTGCTTCTCCCCTCCTCCCGGCCTCTCCCCTGCTCCGGCCTCTCCCCTGCTCCGGCCCCTCCCCACCTCCTGGCCCCTCCCCTGCTCCGGTCCCTCCCCTCCTCCTGGCCCCTCCCCTGCTCCAGCCTCTCCCCTGCTCCGGGCTCTAATTTCCTCTGTGAATCTGTCAGCAGCCGGCAAAGCGCAGATGTCCTGGGTGCATTTTGCTTGTTTTCTGTCCCCTTGTGAGGGTTCGTGTCCGGTTTGCTCACGCTGTGTCCTCAGTGCCTAGAGCAGCACCTGACACCGCTGGGTGTTCAGTAAACATCGCTGGGTTAGTTAGTCACGGCCGCGCCGCCCGGGGGGGGAGAAAAGCAAGGCCATTTCTGCAGCCTCCCCCCGGCCCCCCCAACAAGAACCCACCCCCGGACCCCCAGCTAGAACCCACCCCCGGCCCCCCCAGCAAGAACCCACCCCCCGGACCCCCAGCAAGAACCCACCCCCTGGACCACCCCCAGCAAGAACCCACCCCCGGCCCCCCCCAGCAAGAACCCGGAGAGAAGGTCAGGCTTCAGGGGGCGCGTCAGTCGGAGGCCGACCCCCACCCCCGGGTCAGGAGTGGGGCAGCCGCCCTCCCTCCGGCGCTGACGCTCCTCCAATCCGCACACCTCGGGGGCAGGAGCGGCTGGGCGGCAGGGAAGGGCCATGTGCCCCCGGCCCGGCCACCCAGCTTCCCGCTGCTGAGGACAGGGGCGCCCGGTCTGAGGGTCACTGGATGGGAAAAATAACAGGTTTTATTTCACTTTCATTTATATCTTCTTTGATGCTCTTTTCTTTCTGTAAAGCCAAGTTTCTGACCTAAATCTATTCCCGCCTGAGAACCTTTTTTTCTTTATGTTTATTTACTTATTTTGAGAGAGAGAGAGAGCGAGAGGCAGAGAGTCCCAAGCAGGCTCTGCAGTGTCAGCAGAGAGCCGGGCGCGGGGCTCGACCCCAGGACCCTGATCATGACCTGAGCCGGAACCGAGAGCCGGACTCGGCCGACGGGCCCGGGCGCCCCACGGACATTCCTTGCGAGGCACGTCGGCCGGGATGAGCTCCCTCAGTCGTGGTTTGAAGACCTGGGGTAATTTCAGCGACACCCAGGTTGGTGGTGGTTATTTCTCACTGTTTTCTTGCCACACGGCCCCCCACAGGGACCCCGGGCAGCGCTCCCCCGGCTCCTCCCCCGGCGAAACCCCCTCCCGCCCTCCCCCTCTCTGTCTCCTGTTCTCTGCACGTTGAATGTAAGACGTGGGGGGGGGGCTTGTGGGGGGTCCTTGTCTTTGTCCTGCTTCGTCTTCTCCGAGCTTCCAGGGGCCGCGGTTTGCTCTCTGCCACTGACTTGGCCCTAATCCTCCACACGTTTCCGCCCTGTTCTCTTCTTGTCCAGCCTGCACTCGAAGCCTGCGCGTGCTGCGCCTTCTGCCCCCCCCCCGACCTCTGTCCCCTGCTGTGGGCTCGGCCGTCCCTCGGCCTCCCTCCAGCTCGCTGAGTCCCCTCCGGCCTGCGGAGTCCGGGCAGGAGCCCAGGGCGGCGGCGCCCGGGTCCGTCCCAGCGCGGACGTGGGGACCGCTGGCAGCTCCTTCCCTTCCGGGTCCGCGTCTCCCTACCCGCGGCACCATCTGTTCCCCCGTGTCGCCCGCATGCCCCCAGGTCCCTGGACGTATTAGTCCTAGTTAGTCACGTGCCCCGGGGACAGCGCCGTGTCTGTGTCGTGTCTGCCGTGACGCCTGCGTGGCGTCCCCAGTCCGGGTTTTCCTGCCGTTTGGAACGGCTCGTGGCTGCGGAAGCCCGACGCGCTGGCTGGACAGCAGCCCCAGAGCTTCTGGCGCCGTTGGGTCCGGGCGGCCGGGGATGGGGTGCGGACAGCGCACCTATGCCCCAGGGGGTCGCCGGGGCCCGGCGCTGCTCCAGGCCACGGAGGCGGTGCAGCAGCCAGGCCCACGGAGAGCCGGGCAACGAGGGGCTCCTGGCCCCGGGGGCGGGGGTCCGGGCAGCAGACGCTTGGCGGGGAGAGTCCAGAGCGGGTGGTGAGAGCGCGGCCAGGGCGCCGCCACCGCGGGCTGTCAGTCTTCCGCTTCTCCTAAAACTCTCCGCAGAAAATGTGACCGGTCACAATCCCGGAAAAGGTTTCTTAGGGCAAATTTCCTGGAGGTGGTAGGGATCCGGCAACTGACGGGGCGGGCGCTCTGTGCTCCCCGGAGCCCCGCCTGCAGGCCCCACGCGCTCGGCCGGGGCGCCAGGGACCGGCGTGCAGGGGGCGCAGCACGAGGGGCTCGGGGCTCCCCGGGGACGCTGCACTTCACACCCAGCCCCGCCGCCGGCCCGTCCCCCTGGTCTGCACAGTGGGAGCAGCGGCCCCAGAGCCGCCCGTGTCCCTGCAGACGCAGACGCCTGGGCCCTTCCGTATGATTCCCGGCGTGGGAGGAAGTCCGCTGAGGATCGTGGCCCGAGACCAAGAGGGAATCGCGCAGCCGCAGGGGTGGCCTTAGCACAGCTGGGACAGGACAGACACAGACAGACGCAGGGAGACAGACGGAGGCCCTGACGGGAGGTGCCCGCAGAGGGGCCGGCCTCAGGCACACACAAGCCCTGGGGGTGTTTCTCGGGGACATGACACCGCCCCCCCCCCCCCCCCGCTCTGGCCCAAACGCTGTGGGTGCTTCCTGGGTGGCCCGAGGCATGACCTTGTCAGGTCCTGGCCATGGTGGGCAGCAGCCCGGCGTGTGCCCCGGAAGGTGGAGGGCATCCTGGGTGGGGAGGCTGCCCACCCCCACGCGGCCCAGGCAGGGTCACACCCGCTGAGGAGCAGCCCCTCCCCAACTCCAACAGGAGGTTCAGACCCTCGGCATCTCCTTGCTGGGACTTTCGGGGGCGCGGCTGGGGCCTGGGGGGCGGGTGCTGCCTTGTGGATTATGTGTCCCTGGCAGTCCAGGTTAGTGACCTATTAGGGCACCAATGGGGTGTGTTCAGTCTATGCTGCTTTTGACTCAGCCTCAAAACCCACATTATTGGCCCAGTGGAGTGTGACTGGCTCCTCCAGGGTCTGTCCAAGCCACTTGTGTGAGACTAACGCCACAGTCTGTAAGGCAGGCGGGCAGCAGCTGGGGCGGCAGGCGGCCAGCAGCTGGGGGGGGCAGGCGGGCAGCAGCTGGGGGGGGC